TTTATTGATTTACATTATTTACATTGTTCGGACTGTTGTCCTTATCTTTATTGCCATGTTCTCGATGTTTGATTTGAATTTGGAACTGAAACCTTTATTTCGTCCATCCGGTTAGATTGTCCTAGTTCCACGTACCATGCCTCTTCCGAATGTCTGAGTTATCTCCCAAATATTTTTTAAGCACTGCCGTAGCCAGATATTGAACTCACAACTCTCTTGGTCAAGTTACTGGATCCAACCAATGTACAACGACCGAAATGTCGGGAATATGGCAATAAAGATAAGGACAACATTCCGAATAATGTAAATAATTACAATACCTCATCTTAGAAATATTGACGGTTTCTTTCTAAACTTAAGTATACGTGTTTCTTTAGTTCAGCTTTTATGGAACTTTCTCGCTTGCTTCCATGTTCAGTCCAGGGTATTCTACTTATCCATCTGTGGAATTATATCTCTGTAGCTTCGAGGCTCTTCTTCATCCATGAGGAAATTGGTCAGCATTCAATGCTATCTACAAAGATAGTTCAGTACTCTTTTCTTTTTTTATAACAAAATTTTCCTGTGTATTTTCCCCGTTTCTAGCAGGGATTTTTTACTAATCGGATGTGCATACGAATTTCTGTATCAAGCATTTTCCGCTGTCCGTCACTACGCTAAACAAATAGCTAAAATTCTGTACCTACTTGAATCTGATGTCTCTAATTCTAAGATCAAGTCTTTGATTAGCTTTCCCGCTGATGACCATTGATTTTCCATGAAAGTGAACATAGCGTGTCCTGGTTATAAAGTTTGGTTTGGTTTGGTTTGTTTTACTCCATATCAATCTGTTGAGGGGTTGTCCCCTTTTTACACAAACGAACTCACCCAGGGTATACATATACTACTCCTAGTGAATACCAAGAGAGAAGCACAACGTGCCGTTTGCTACCATAGAGAAAATCGACAAAGAATTAGAGAGACTTGAACAAACTGGGATTCTTTTAAAAACGGAATTCAGTGAATGGGCGGCACCATTGGTCTATGTAAAAAAAAAATCCGGAGAAATCTGTGTTTGCGAAGATTTTTCGACTGGGTTAAATAAGGCTATAAAAGATCATCATTACCCATTATCAAGCCCAGAGGAAATATTTACCAAGTTTAACGGCGGTAAGGTATTTTCCAAAATAGATTTAAGCGAGGATTATTTACAGATTCCAGTAGAAGAAGAGAGTACGAAAATTCTATGTATTAATACGCACAAAGGACTGTACAAATTCAACAGATTACCATTTGGTGTAAAAGTAGCACCGGCAATTTTTCAACAGACGATGGATACAACGCTCACTGGACAGAACTTTGCCACCACTTACTTGGATGACATTCTAATTAAAAGCGACAATGTTGAAGATGACGCATCGCACATAAAGGAAGTTTTTAAAAGACTTCAAGATTTGGGGTTTAAAGTAAAAGAAAAGAATGTGATTTTTTCCTAAATGAAATTAAATACTTAGGCCATATAATTAATGAAAGTGGTAGTAAGCCAGATCCAGAGAGGGCATCTGCAATAAAAAATATGCCTGAGTCAAAAAATGTCGCAGAATTGCAAAGTTTCCTGAGTCTAGCAAACTACTACGGTGAATTCATTGAAAATATGCATATATATAGCCCCGCCCCTAAATGAGTTACTGAAAAAAGAGAACAAATGGAATTGGACGGAAGACTGTCAGAAAGCGTTTAAGGAAATAATAAAAAAAATTAACTTCGGAGCTAGCACTGACACATTTCGACGCCAAACTAGAAATTATTATTGCTAGCGACGCGAGCTCACACGGAGTAGGCGCTTGTATTCTACACAAGATGTGGGATGTCACAAAGAAGCCTATAGTGCACGCATCGAGATCATTATTACCAGCAGAGAGGAATTATTCGCAAATTGAAAAGAAAGCGTTAGGCATAATATTCGCCATAACTCGCTTTCACAGATATATTTATGAAAGAGAGTTATCTCTACAAACGAATCATAAACACCTTCTTACGATTTTTGGATCGAAAAAAGATTACCAATATACACAGCCAACAGACTTCTAAGATGGGGAACGATTTTATTGAACTACAACTTCAAACTTGAGTTCCTACCATCGAAGAAAATTGGGCATGCTGATGGACTATCGCGATTGGTACCCGCGAAAGGCGAACCTCTGGAAGACTCGGTAATAGCGGCGTTGCAAGCCGAAGATTAAATCAGTAAAGTGTTCCATAATACAGTAAAGGAACTAGCTGTGACTTTGCTAGAGATAAGAAGAGAAGCGGAAAAGGATGAATTTATTCAGAATACCAAGAGAAAAATAGAAGAAAAGGAAAGGAGTTTACCGGACAGCTTTTCAATTTGTGACCACGTATAACGAGAGTGGTAATAATGAAATCATTACAAAGGCGGATCTTGAAGGACTTTCATTTAGGATAATTATCGATCATAAAAGGAAAAGATATTAACTCCCCCAAAAAAGGAATCTAAGGAGGGGTTGTTAAGGGGGTTCTCCCCTTTTTACACAAATGGACTCACCCAGGCTATACATATACTACTGCTAAATACCCAGGGAGGAACGAGAAAGCGACGAATTAGAACGAGCGACGAACGAGCACTAAGAACGTAACGAGCAAGAGTCACAGTTTCAAAAATGAGCTAAAAACCCTAATTTTATTTTTGCGCATTAGATTTCATCTTCACTAAGAAGTCATGAAACAAGTTGAACGACGATGTAAATTTACATTAGCACTATTTTGTAAAAAATAAAATATCTATATTTTATATCTTACTGTTCTTTTCTTTTATATATATATATATATATATATATATATATATATATATATATATATATATATATATATATATATATATATTGCTACTAACCCGCATTCCTGGAACTACTAACCTGAATTACCAGTTTGTATTATTATATTATTACATTTATTTTCCTATATTCCTTCTTGGCGTTTGTTATTTATTGGTACCGGATTTCATCCCGGAATCCACAACAAATCTCAATGGGTTATGTAATATCGACGAGATTTTTATTGTTGGTAATATTTATTTTTTTTCTAAATGTATTGCTGGCAATTTACATTATTTACATTATTCGGATTGTTATCCTCATCTTCATAGCCATATTACTCAAGGACAAATGGCCCAGTGGATAAAGACTTTGGTTAGACTAGACCCAAAGAGTTGTGAGTTCAATACCAGGCTACAGTAATGGTGAACCAAAAAACTTGGAGAGTTGAGTTAAAGAAATAACTGAGACATCTGAAAAAGGCATGACACGTGGAACTAGATCTCCCCCGGTGGATAAAATAAAGGGTTAGGTTCGAAATTCCAATCACCTGAAGAAGGCTAGAGAGTACAACGGTCGAAACGTTGTGAATATGGCAATGCATATGAGGATAACAGTCCTAATTATGTAAATAATCAGAAGACCGCATCTCAGAGATATAGACAGATATTGTATTGCTGGTAATATTTTTTTTTTTTAAAAATGTATTGCTTGCAATAATTTTTTCCCTAAAATTGCTGGTATTAAAACTTATCTTTATACTTTTATAGTGTTTTGATCCCATTTGTGGGGGTAATTATTTGCCTATAACTGGGAACGTAACAGGTGCTACCACTCCAGGTCAGGGTGTACCCGGGAACACCAGTAATTAATAGGTGGTTCTACGCTCCTCAAAACCTCCTGATCAGACGCCTTGCTGCCGGATGTAGTTTATCGTCATACCCAGGATGCGGATGTAATTTATCGTCCTAGTTATAAAGGCCTGAACAGGTGCAACTGGAGAATGGAACTCATCCGAACATTTGCCATAGAAATAGCGATAATATAGCGACAGGCTTGGAATGTTGCTTCGTAAACTGGTGAAATAGTGTATAACGACTTCATATAATTAGTAATAGGATTCATTTTTATGTTGAGCTATACCTTTTAGTGTTATTTGCTTCGGAGCTTTTTAAAAAATCTAGTTTATATCTATCGATCTGTTAGTGAATGTGTGCATGGCATAGCGGATATTGGCATGAAATGGGAGATTGACAACCCGTGTTCAAATTCCAGTCAAAGCCATTGCATTCGCTTTCGCACAAGTATTCTTGTAAATGCCTGATTCCATCTCTTCTGCACAACCAGGTGGCAGTTAATAACAGAACACGCCCGGTACCCTATCTTTGGTTGTTAGCCAGTCTCGGAGGACAACCCCGAATTCAAAACCCCGTTAAGATATTGCCGGTGAAACCATAGCAGCAACATCTAACTTGGTAAGGTTGCGGTCCTATTCTCCGAGGGGAATATACATACGTTTTGATATGTTTATTTCGTTCTTGTTTATCTTCGTATCGATTTATCTGCCCAACCGCTTTGTTTGTATCACTTTATATATTTTCGTCGATCCATCTCGTTTTCCACACAAATCGATCAATCTCTCGCTCTGTATATATAGCTATAAATCGATCTAGCGGGCTTCCTTAGTCTCTGCGTATCTATCTTTCACTGTTCTTATCTAGTGATCTTAAACACTCTATATCTATTTAATACTTACTAAATTGAACTTGCTCTAGCCCAGGGGTCCCAATTGGATCAGAGTTGGGAATCTTCTTTCTTTCCAGAGAGAGAGAGAGAGAGAGAGAGAGAGAGAGAGAGAGAGAGAGAGAGAGAGAATCTGGTTAAATTTTAAACCAATATTCAAAAATCTGGTTTTTATATGCGCTTAAACACGGACCATTACTTGTTATGATAATGAATTTTTCCAAAATTTTTCATATCTATCTATCTATCTATCTATCTATCTATCTATGTATGTGCTTCCTTTTCTCGGGCATATTTTGTATATCACAATTTATTCATGTTTGTCTCAACTCTGTTTTCTGTGTGATCATATCCAGTCAATGAACCTCGATAGGACCCGGCGATGTTTTAGGGGCAACTTAACATTTTTTAATCATGTTCATAACTATGTAACTTTCCTATCACATTGAAACACCGGTTCCCGTACAATCAACGAAGTTAAGCAACATTGAGTCTGGTCAATAACCAGTTAGGTGACATCTTGGGAATACCAGGTGCTGTAATAATTAACGGCTGGGAATTGGAAATCCGAGTGCCGAGTTACAATTCCAATCGTGTGCGTTATATATTCACTTAGGCGCAAATAGCCTTAGGAAATGTTTGAATTTACTTCTTTTCCTCCTACTACTACTACTCTTAAATTAAATCAAATTAAATTAAACTACTGTTTAATTAGTAAGGCTTATATCAGTAAAATATTTTTATTATCTCCCCAAAATTGTTAAAAGCTAAAAATATTCGTGTTTAAATGACCCCCCAAAAGATTATTAAGCTGTAAAACCAAATGAAACAGTAACTTTTATTTCTGCCTATCTCTTTCTTTCTCTCTCTCTCTCTCTCTCCCTCTATATATGTGTGTGTGTGTGTTTCTGTCCATCCGCTGTGTATATGCTTCTTTAGTATTCCTTTCTATTTCCAATTATGTGCACACTCACACATACAGATACACACACACACACACACACACACACACACACACATATATATATATATATATATATATATATATATATATATATATATATATATATATATATATATATATAAAAACAAAAAGGTACTTTAAGGTACCATTACAATAATTTATTTCACCAAAATCCTTTTTGAAGGACTCCGGATCATCAGGTAACACTTCCAATAATGAAATGAAAGGAAAAATGGGATTAGAAATTGATGGGTAGTGTAATTTTTGTAATTTAACAGGGAGGGTGATAGTTGTAGTTAACGAGACAAGGTAAAGTATAGGGAGGGGTTAATTTCATATTTCTCTTAAGCATGTTTTATATTGGTGTAGGAGGAGTGACCTTATCGTGGCCTATTTAGATGGTTAACTTAACGGAAATGATATATAGGAATGGGAGGGTAGTGGAGGAAAAAGAAAAGGAAAAATGGAAAGGAGAGAGGAGATAGACAACAGTAATACAGATATATCTAAATGAGTGTTACGGCAAAGAGAGAAGGGGAGAGGAAAGTGAATCGAAAAAGCTGTAATTTTGTTTTAACAAAATTATGTAAAAGATAGATTTCAATGCTTGATAGAAATTTAGATGTCTAAAAAATGATGAATGTTATCAATTTAAACATTTAGTTTTTAAGTAAATAGTTTAAGGACTTAATATAAGTTAACTACTATTTTTATTAGCACATTAAGGATTTAATATAAGTTAACTACTAACTATTTTTATTAGCACATTTATCGAGAACATATTAAAGAAATATTTAAAATTATAATAGTTTATTTACCCGACCAAGTGTACTTTCATAATATTGTAAAAAATTTTGGCAACAATAACATCTATATTAGTTTTACTTTAAATCTAATTTATGAATGCAATTTTTCTTTATTACTATATGGGTAAACTTAATTAAGGTTTAGGTTTCATTATTTAATAATATTTGAGGGTAATATTAAAGATTTTGTTTTCTTCTTATATGTATCTCACAAAAACATATTTATGTAAATCCACATATACATTCGTCCATTTACATGTGCAAATACACACATAGACATAAACATTAGCTCTGGATTCACATTGAGCTCTCAGGATTTCATCCTCCTTGGAATTACCCATTCGGTTTACCAAGTTCTTCGTAACTTAAATATATATATATATTGTTTAAAATGACCTCTATTTATGGGAAACTAAGCACTTTTTTCCCATATATATATATATATATATATATATATATATATATATATATATGTGTGTGTGTGTGTGTGTGTGTGTGTGTTTGCATATGTGAGTATGTATTTCGTAACTATAAGCATTATATTCATTGTCTGATTAAAAAACTCATTAATTGCTTATGCACACACATAAATACATACATACATATATATATATGTATGTATATCTTATGAAATGGACCAAGTCCGGCAATTATTTTAATATATTTTCTTTTTAAATCTTATTTTTATTGATACAAATATTAAAGTAAATGCTCTATTTATGATAAACCGTATTAAGAACATTTACCGGCCTGAAAGTCCGAAAAATTTCATTGAAAATATGTGTCCTCCGACAGGAAATGAACCTGTATCCTACACAGGACCATCATATAGCCTGACGTGTTATATCAATTAGCTGCAGAGGAAGCGTCTGGTTAGAAAGGTCAAATTACTGTTTTTAAACTACAAATCTACAATGATTTCTCTCGAACACTCATATCTGATCAAAGCGTATCGTAACGTGAACAAAGAAATCATGGGAAATCTTAGCGGATTAACTTTGATTCTGCAATGACGAAATGGGCTTTAAAACAGATCACAGGCTCGCTGTCATAGTGAAGAGACCATTTCAAATTCATTGAAATTCAAATATTTAACTCAGGAAAGCAAGTCAAATTTAAGCATTTTAATATAGCAAATCAGCTTTCAAATACTAGATTCTACTGTTCACGAAGATCAAAGGTCCCTATTAAAACAGATTAGATTATTTATAACAAACTACTTTACCTTGCCATAGAACTAAATAAACGTTTGAACCTTCCTGACTGAAAAATCAAAAGTCGAAAAGAAAAACAGATTTTTCAGAGCTCAAACAACGACGAAAAAAAATAATCTATTTTCAGGACTCGAACAACGACTACGAGAGACCGTCGGAAAAATTAGTCTATTTTCAGGTGTTGAAAACGACCACCGCTGACAGTTGAACAATTGGAATACTTCACTATCGTGGCGGACTTTCAACATTTTTTTTATTCTTAATAGCGTTTCATTTCATTGCATTTCACTCTTTTTTCTGCCAAATAAGTCTAACCAATTTGGATTTTAAGCATGTAGTTGTCTTCTGGCTACCAAAAGATTTTGAAGCATTTAAATCATATACAAAGTAACAATTAGATAAAGCGAAACTTAACACATAGAACAACATATTTAAAAAAATAAATCAATACAAACTCACATACGTAGAAGTTGAGTATTAAAATAATTCAGTAACAGAAACATGAACAAAACACATGCAAAGATATAATTCATGCTTCGTTTTGTCGTAGGAGGTTGCAGATTTGTACTCACAAACAAACCAACAAACACACACACAGACATAAATATATATAATATATATATATATATATATATATATATATATATATATATAAAGATATTTTCCAAAGTGTAGAATTTGATAAAATAATCATCTTTCTTATTCTTTACAGTCAGCATTTATGGACAGTTTCTCTAAACTTTACAAATTGGATTTTTTTTGTCACAAATTTTGTTTCGTGACTGGTTTGTGAAAAGATTCAAAGTAGGAATTCCTGGTAACATCAAACTATTATGCCTTTTATATATATCAGATATTTTTTTTGTTCCCATGCTGTGACGAATGAGCGCAAGAGGAAATATTTGTAAATAGATGAGCAAACAGAACTGTAATATAACAAAAAGGTATTAATGTTTAACAAAATAAAACAAGCGGTTGTTCCGCGTGAGCTTAGCACAGATTTCGCATCTCAGACTTCGATTAGATTGAAGTGCATGCGAAACCTGATTTAAAAAAAAATGAAAACTTAAAGTACTGTTTCGTTTAATTATATATGCTTTTATGCATAAAATGTTATTCACCACAAACAAGACAATAGAGTTTTTTTAAAAATTCAGATTCTGAATATGTTCCTAAATCAAACACGAAACAAAGCTCCTGAAAAAAAAATAAAGTTTACATTTTTAACGTCGTATTCCTTCAAGACTTAGACCTTTATAGCCCTCCACAGTTTCCTCATTATCTGTTGATTGCCATGATTTCATGGAAAAAATAGCAATCATATCCCCGGATTTATACGAACTTTACAGTGATGCGACCCGAACGCAACTGGATGTCCTACCAGGATTTAATATTGTTGGGCACAATCTAACAACAAAAGATATTCAGATAGTATAGTGTTGAAGGCAGACACAGAAATGAACCTACAGGAACTCCTAGAAATATTCTCAAAAAAAGCAGGAAGAAAGAACTACTGTAAATTGTGGCTTACAAGTTGACCTGACGTACAAGCCCTCCTCAATGTTTTTAGATCAACATTCTTAGCTTGTATCTAAAGTATACGCCGACACCCAAACAACCGGTAGACTACCAGTGGCCCAAAACTTAGGTCTAACGGTAAATGATGCCAGGCTACAGTATAAGATAACCTGTGTTATTACGTGTTATTGCGTGTATATTCACCAAACACAAGTTAAAAAAATATCAAGAAACAGGAAAATTTCACTAGAAACCAAGAAAGAGTGATCAACTGCTATGTAAAACATGTCTGTCTATATGGCAGTAAATGCTGGACAATGATGAATACGAGTATGAGAAAATTTGTTCTTATTCACCGCACCAGAACGGAGTCGCTGAACGTAGTTGGTGGACGCTTTTCGAAATGGCTGCCTTTATACACGTCGGATTGAATATTTTGAGCTTTCTGATTGGTTAACCCTTCTATTGGTGAACTATAAAATGAGTCAGCTCATTTTGACTGGCTCACTAGTAACAACGTACACAAAAAACTGTAACACCCCTTCATTAGTGGGTATATTATGGAATCTTCTTTCAAAAGAAGTTAGTGCCATGTTAGTTGATGCCAGAACATTCCATTTCTGAAATCAGAGGTAAACATTTGAGATCTCTCAATGCGCAGTGTCACGCTACTTTCTCTGAATCTTCACTGCCAAACTCTGATATTGAACACATTACGGACTTCACTGGATTCCATATTACTACGGCAAACATGGTTAACAGAGTCAACAGAGATATCGTTTTACATAAGGATACTGAGAATACCATAGACTTGTTTGTGTAAATGGATTGGAGATCAGGGAGGAGGAAAATAGTAAAAAGACAAATATTGCTAAGAGCTACAGAGGAAAGTAAGCTGTAGAGAGCCATGATCGCCCACGTCCTGAACAGACATAGATTTTTAAAAGAAGATTAATTCTCATAGACTTGCTGTCACACAGGCCACAGAACTCTGTGTAATTTACTATTTAACTCATGGCTAGAGGAAGAAGAAATGAAT